AACACTCCAAAGTTGAGAGGGAATAGATCATGTTGGTGACCCGGGAGGCACATTCAGTGCAATTCCCTGTGGGCACAATGACAGTCCTAAGAGCACACACTGCTAAGTGCCCAAGCTTTATGTGGCACCCTTTGCTAAAGGGGGATCCCTATTAAGACACCTGCCCCGGAAGCTGCTTTGGTCACTGAATTAATATTTTCTGGAAGAGGTACAGATTCTCCTTGGTTTACACTCTATTGATGCCAGGTCCCCAAGCAGACCTCAGTGACATGCACAGCCAATTGTTGGCACATGTGGCAGTGGGCAGCATCTGTGCATTGGGAACTGCCTGGGAAGCAGGTGGGTAACTCACTAAACCTACTTAAAGGAAGACTGACTCCCTCCAGTCAAAACGGCAAAGACAGCTGAAAAGCCAAGAAAACCATGCCTAGTCACACCCGCATTGATAAGCTCTCCTTATCAAAGATACAGGAATCACAATACAATGAGGCTCAAATACTATCACCATTCTCAGAAGCAGACATTGGGTGTCCGTGGAGCCCAATATCTGGATTCCTCAGCTTCTATTCTGGTTGGCTCGATGGGTGACTTTGGATCCATTTCTTAATTAGCTTTTGCTTCAACTGCCTTGCCTGTTTCTTCTAAGAGTTTATAAATGAATATGCCTGCAGCACTTTGAATGGTATTGGGCAAATGATGATTATTGCACAATGTTGGTCATCACAGTTACTGGATCTTATTACAAAGAGAAAAGAATGTTTTGAAAAAGATCTACACTGTTTTGAATCATAAGAAAAAGCCATTAAACACTCATATGACACTGTTCTAACAATCTTGATTTTAAGTCCATTATAACCATAAGTTTACAGATGTCCTTCATACATTTTGTTTTTTCACTTGAAAATACTGGTCGAATATCAAGAGTCTACTTAACCTATATGTACGCATACATATGCATGTTAAATATTTTTGTTATTTCCCTTCAAAATCAAAGAAGAAATTCATATTCATGAGGTTGGGAATACAGTTCAGCTAGTAAGGTGTTTGTTGCCCAAGTATCAGGAACTGAATTTGGATCCCAGCGTCGATGTATAACAGCTAGCCTTGGCAGTGCAAGCCTGCAACCCCAGCCTGGTGAGTAGAGACAGAAGAACTGGACAGACTCCCTAGCAGCCAGTATAGCCAGAATTTTAAATTTGGTAAACTCGGTAGGCTCCGGGTTTAATGAGAGACCCTGACTCAAACAAAAGGGTGGATGGAGAGCGGTGGAGGAAGACACATGACATTGACCTCTGGCCTCCATGTGGGAGCACACGTGGGTACATGTACACAAACATGCATATTCCACATCACACGCACACACACACACACACACACACACACACAGAAGCATGCACACACACACAAGCATGCATACACACACACACACAAGCATGCATACACACACACACACACATACACAAGCATGCACACACACTTATAGCCACAGGACGACATCAACAAAGTTCTCTAAAAAGCAGCTGGTTGACAAAGAGGCCCTTCAGTTGACCCACTCTCAGGGTGATCTCATCTAGAAGAGATCAGTCGGGGAGACCTGATGACTTCAGGGATGGCTCCACCTTGCCCTCATCACTGAGTCTCAGAGCTCCAACAGCGACTGCTAAGGGCAGCCCTACAGCTGGACAGAAGCTGCCCCAGACACAGCGTTTGTTTCTCGACCTTTTTGAATTGTAATGGAGTCTTATTCCACGTATCACAGGGACCTGGCCCAATAACAAAGACTGCTCCAGCCTCATCTCCAGGATGGACCCAGTACATCAGACTCTCCTAACTACCTCAGCAAAATGTCTCCTGTCACACCAAACCAAGACATGCATTTAAATCACAGCGTGGACTATGTATGTAGAGAACGTATCTTGAAACACACATTCTCATATCTCAGCGTTCCCGTAGTTTCCTGAATTATAGACACAGGGGTCAGTTGAAAGCTAGAGTTTTCCATTAAGTCCCTAGAAATATTGAAGCTACAGAAAACAACTCTTAAAACTCCTTTTGTGAAAAATTCTTTTATGGGGCAGGGAGAGCTGGGGAGTGCTCAGTCAGTAAAGCGCACGCCACTCCAACGTGGAGACCACGTTCCCATCCATCCTGCCCATGTAAATAGCCGGGTGAGGCATGCAGATCCCCGAAGCTTACAGACCAGCTAACATAGCTGAGCAGATGAGCTACAGGCTCAAGGAGAGCCCCTGTCTCAAACAGCAAGGCAGAGAGCAGAAGAGGATGGTGGCTGATGTTGACCTCTGACCTCTACACACACATACCACTACCATCATCCTTTTAGCCTATCTTCTCTTCTTAAACTATCTTTCAGCATGTTAACAAGCCATTAAATGCTCGACTTACTCACTGAAAACAAACACCTGCTGGCACTCTTGCTCCCCGGGGAATTCAATTCCACTACTCTCACTAATGTCTGTATGGGCTGGAGATGCAGACGCATCCCATGGAATGTGTGAAGAGCAAGTTTTGACTTACTCAGGTTACTGGAAAATGACCACCTGAACTACAAAAAGGCTGGGGATTCTCTCTCTGGGGACACAGTCTACTAAAGTTTTAGTCCGACCATGTCAGCACTGAGGTTAGTTACCATATGCACTTGCTTTACAGAGCTGGGTCCCACGGGAGAAATCATAAATGCCAGCCCCACGTTTCCCATACAGAATTCTGAAGGGAGGAAAGAGGGTTCCTAGGACATGAAGTGCAGACAGCATGGCGTGGATGGAACTGACGGACTAATGGACGGACAAACGGACAGATGTGTGGGAGGATAACAATCCAAGATCCGACAACAGTGAGAAATCTTCCTTCTCCCTAGGGCTTCATCCTATTTAAACCTGGACAGGTTGCTTCCTGTCTCTGGGGCTGATTTTTCTTTTCTCAGAAGGACCAGAAGGTTCTTTCTCTCTGAGTCTTTAATTTCCTGAAGTGAGAGAACTTTGCAACATCGCTCAGCTTGGCCCATGCCAGGTTTCTTGGGCTAGACTCATCTAGAGTTCATGGCCCATCATTAATGAGGGGTTGGACAGAACTTCTTAATCTAGAGTGTCTGCATCAGTCAGGGTCCTCACTTCCCATTGCACTAAAAAGTGATGGTGAGCAGAACACCACCAGAAATAATCAAGATGCTAAGAAGACAGAGTATGAGATGTGATGGCACAAGCCTTTTAACCCCAACACTCAAGGGGACAGTCAGGAGTTTAAAGCCAGCCTGGTTTATGTAGCAAGTTCTAGGCTGACCAGGACTACACACAAGAGCCTGTCTCAACTCAAAAGACTAAATAAACAAATAGGAAGAGAATAGTAAAATTAGCCACTAATGGCCCACCCTTGCTTTTGGAGTTGGCCTGCATTTGGCTTTTGTTCTAGAAGCTTCTTGCGAAATGGAAGACTATCTACCTGGGGCTACAACAGCTCTTTATGACACACTTATCCTACTCCTCCCTTTCACTCTTCCCTTGACATCAAATCCCACCTGAGAAGAAAGGCTGGGTACAGAGGGGGGCTCTAGGGCCCTTCTCCCAGTGACTATTCTCATAACTTATAAAACAGCAGGGATGGCGAACACTTTATCTGAACACTTGATCCTCAGGGCGGGCAGCTGTACCCATATGAGGGCCATTTCTGTTCTCCCTGCCATGTGTTTTTCAGGTTCTGAATGCACTCATTTTCTACAATTGCAGGAAAGGATACCATAGCCACAGTGACTGCTGGAGAGCCATAGAGAGTCATATGCCCAAGGGATACTACCTCAGAGCCCAGAAGATCTGCCGCTTTAACAAGGTTGCCTGTTGAGGATCACACCCCAGGGGCCTACCTCAGATGCCCAATGGAACCACCATATTGGAAAGGTCACCTGGAGCGGACAAGGCAAGGAAGCACCACTGGGGATCCCCGACATTCCCTAAGCTCATGCCCTGTGCCAGGCACATGGCGTCATCTAGTGAAGTCTTGTGAAGATGCCGTCATTGTTACATACATTGTATGTATGAAGATGAAACTGGAGTTCCAGGAGGTTCTGAAACTTCCTGCAGGCTGAAGAATTCTAGGGGTCACGTTCTTAAGGGTTCCATTCTTAGCACCTAACCTCTTTCACCATAGCTCCTGGGAGCAGGACGGACCCCACTTTTCAACACCCCAAACTCTGAGGGTATCATTTTCCAGGGACACTTGGCATGGTTTGAAGATAAGCCAGTGTCCATCCAGGGCTCATCTGCCTACAGTCTTGGAACTCTAGTCCAACCTCAGCTCCTGGGCCAGGGTGTGGTCCTGGAAGACTGTCACTTCTGTGTTTACTCAAGGGTAGTCATTAAGTCACTGTGAAGACATCTTTCCTTCAGACTAAACAACCCTACTTCCTTTTTAAACACTCTGCTCACAGGAGCTCTCCTCCGAGACCGTCTTTCTATATATACTGGTTCCTCCAGCACTCTTCTCCCAGCCCAGTCTCTGTTTTGAACAATTCTAGAATAAGACCTGCACTGGGGAAGAAGAGAGGAATGTTTTCACAGTTTTCATCTCTGGCCTTAACAAATTAACACTAGCATGGATGGTCAGCCGCCTCTTCCAGTCCACTCTGACCGCCAGGTCTGTTGTAGCATCCTGTGTGTGGCCAGTCTTCTCTTCACTGTTCATTTCTCATCACACTGAACTTTGCTGTATACTTGAGGGCCTATTCCTTGGCCCCCCCAAAGCCTCAAGCTGTTCTGAACTCATTTGAATTGGCCTAATTTCCCTTTGAGGTCCAAGACAAAGCTTTAGAAAACCCAGGACACAGAAACAACCTTTGAGAAGTGAGGGGTTGACAAGGACACCCCTCCTGTCTGCAGGGGCCTGGCATCCCTTTGGGAGAGACACTGAAGCCGCAGATAGGTTCGTAAGACCCAGCGGGTCTTTGAGTACACCAGCCCAGAGAGTTACCAGCCCCAAGGGGGCCCACTTACTTCGGGGTTCTCGCGGGCCGTCCACTGTGATTTTGATGGCTCTGTGGTAGGTGGCGACTTGTGGGGGGTTGGTAAAGACGGTGATGGTCAGAGTGAAGCTCTTGCCTGGAAAGACACAGAACAGAACAGGACAGAGTGAGGGCTGGTCTGAGCATCCACCCATTGCGTTAATCTAGGCTCTCCAGCCCCCAAAGCGGGAGGTGACAGAGCTGAGGCAGGAGGATTTATTCTCCTGGTAGTCTTATCGGTCTGGCTTTGTCTCCAATCTGGAATGGACACAGTGGGTTCACTAGGTGTGACACATTGCATAGTTATGTGGCTTTAATTCGATCACTAATTAGCAACAGGATCAGGAGAGATCAGAATTTACGCCCACATCAGGACTCTGGGAATCGCCAGCTGGGATTCATAGCCGTCCACTTCCACCCTTTGTCCTCCCATCCCCACTGCCTTCTCTGGATAGTTATAAAATCCAGGCCAAGGAGGAGGAGGAGGAGGAGGAGGAGGAGGAGCAGCAGCAGTAGCCCCCATATCCCCCTTCTATCTCTGCACTTCTGAGGATTAGCAAAGACTGACTTTCTAGGGCTAGGCTGAGGGTAGCTCAGAGGGTACAGTGGTCGTCTAGCAAGCATGAAGCCCTGGGTTCTATGCCAGCATTGCATAAACTGGGCACGATGCTGCACATCTGTAATCCCAGCACTCAGGTAACAGAGGCAGGAGGATTAGAAGTTCACAGTCTCCCTCGGCGACACAGTAAGTTTAAAGTTAGCTTGGGCTACGTGAGACCCTGTCTCAAAACAAATGAACAAACAAACAAATCAACCAAGATTGAATTCCTAAGTGTGAAAACATGCTAAATTAGAAAATATTCTCTGTACTATTAGAAGTTGATGGTTGACATTAAACACTATTCATAAATACCAGATGACGAGATGTTACACAAACACTAATTGGGTAGGGCAGAGCAAAGGTATGCAGCCAGCAAACTGAGGTTCAAATGCATTGTTCATACAAAAGTGTGCCTGGCTGCTGGGCCGGTGGTGGCGCACGCCTTTAATCCCAGCACTCGGGAGGCAGAGGCAGGTGGATCTCTGTGAGTTCGAGGCCAGCCTGGTCTACAGAACGAGATCCAGGACAGGCGCAAAGCTACACAGAGAAACCCTGTCTCAAAACAAACAAATAAACAAGCAAACAAACAAACAAAACCCAAAAAAATAGAAAAAATACAAAAGTGTGCCTGCCTCTCTCTGTAATACTTTAATACTGTAATAATGTCTCTGTGAAAGGTCAGCTCAGAGTTCAATCAAATATATTACTTCTTGGTCTCATGGCTTCAGGGAATGGATTCTGGGTTTGAATTCTCACTGCTTTACCCTGATAAGCCACAATATCTAGACTTCTCTGTTGCTCAGTGTTCTTGCCTGAAAAAAATGGGTACAGGCAATTTTCCAAATGTATACAGTTTGGGACTGAGGGAAGAATAAGTGAGGTGAAGCATTACAACAGTGTCTGTCCCTAGTGTCCAAAGGCTCTATGTCCATGTGTCCCCTGTACTTCTCAGAGCCCTGTATGGAATCCTGGTATTTGACTGAGAGCAATATTAAGTCTTCTACCTACATATTAGTTCTTCAGTTAATACAGTTTCTCCTCTTACTCACACAGTATCAATGAAATGCAAACAGAAGGGAGACCAACCATGCCCATTGGCTCCGAAAGGCATTGGCTACTTTAAAACCCAGCTGACCTGCCTACCCTCCTTTAGAAGGAACATACAGTTTCCAGCTGACATGCGTGTTAACGTGGGTGAAGGCCACTGAGAAATTCCCCAGGATACGACCTAAGGCCATCGAGAATTGAATGTTCCCGAGAATACAATCCATGACCACAGTAAGCTGCACTCCTAATCCTAAAACGTGTTCCCTGATCATCCTGGAGTGTCCGTCTGTAATCTGTCTGCTGAAGTCTGTGTCAAAAAGAGCAACAGCACAAGGAAGGCTAGCCATGGAGTCCATTTTGCACCATGAGTGGCCCAAGGGAGCAGACCAGAGCGGTTTTTAGGAACTGGGGTTCTACGGCACATGAGGCTTTGTGCCTAAATTCCTCCTACCTCCTCAGCCAGCCTCCTCCCCACAGAGAATGCTGCCAGGCTCTGGGGATTTGTCATCATGAGACAGCTGCAGATATCAGGGGATGTTACAAGGGGTTCTCTGCTTTAGCATCTAGCTGACTTGGAGGGACAGTCAACGGAAGCCCAGGGTGGACATGCTGAGAATGATGTGCTGATGTGGAGGCCTGAGGGAGCTGCCCATCATTCTCCATCATCTTCAACTGTATCAACAGTCACATGGCCTGCTGCTGTAAGGCAGGCATCCGGCAAAGCTCACAGTGGGCCATCCTTTCTCAGTAAGAACCCACTATGGGCTACCCCTCGTATCATCAACATGGAATCCTAGAGTCGGCTTCCAGAATCTTCTCCCTAGAATCTTGAGGCCCATGAGCTCAGCTCTTGATAGGGCCTTGGGTCTCTGGGCTTTCTGTACCAACTACTACTTCGCCAGCCCCTCAGATTCACTTGCTTAGGTCTTCCCATCTTCAAAGCCCAGCCAGTTCCTGCTGATCTGCTTCTCAGATGACCTTCCTTGAGGATGAGTGTGCTTGCGACCATTTCAGAGAGGCCTCACACATCACTCTTCCCCTTGATTAACTGAGATGTTTGCTTTGACAGCATTTGTGACTGTCCAAACTTAAACTGCCTGAGGGCAGGGACCACTTCCCCAAAGCCTGTTAATATCTATCCTTCAGAAGTGTGAAAGGAGGAGAGCAGCTGGACGCTTAGGGGCAGCAGAAGACAGTGGAGTGAGAGGGGTAAAAGGGAAAAGTAGCTTGAAGACACCTGCCATGGTGACACAGCTTAGTTCTGAGCTGGCCGTGTGCGTGTGCGTGTGCGTGTCTGTGTGTGTGTGTGTTGTGGGGAGTGACCGGACAATGAGACCTGGTGCCTCTGGCTAGAGAGATAGAAGATTTGGATTCTCCCACGTTTTTGCCTCCCTTGGTCCCAGTTCAAGAGATATTTGTGGTATGACTCATAGCTCTCTGACACTGCCTTCTGCGCCTGAGGCAGTAGGATGCCTGCATTGGAGCTTGTCGCTCCACGACCGCTTTCTTCTCAGTTCGAGGCTGTGGGATGCCTGTAGCATCTAAAGTTCTCTGATAGTGGCTTCTGAGCCACGGGTTCAGCCACGGTTGCCTGAAGTGTGTATTGCGGCTCCCGGATGAGGTCATCTGAGCCTGTGACTATCCAGCATGGTGTCCCATGAACAGACCCACACGGCCCGTATCCTCGGTTGCTTACAGCTTCCGAGCTGCAAAGACCTCAAGGAGTCTGGAGTTCAAGCAACCTCGGGGCTGATACAATACAGTCCCACGGCTTAATACCCTCAGATCCCATCTCTCGTTGTTCTGGAGCCACAAGGCCAAGATGGAGGAGTCTGTGGGACTGCTCCCTGCATTGGGGGTGGCCGGCTCCTTCCTTCTCCTCCTGACTTCCTTAGACTGCCAACAGCATCGGCCTGTAGGAATGGGTACTCTCAGCACTCCATTCTCCGACTCCATCTCTGAATGGTACCTTCCTGTATATAGTATAGCCCTTGATTCTCCCCCATCCTTAGAAAGCCATCAGGCTAAGACTTAGAAAGGTGAAGTTATGGTCTCAAAATCACTCCATCTAGGTTGACAAGATGGCCCAGTGGGTATTTGCTGCCAAGCTGGACAACCTGAGTTTCATTCTTGGGATCCACACAATTGAAGGAGAGAACTGACTCTCCCAAGTTATCCTCTCACCTCCATAGATATGCTACAACACACACACACACACATACACGCACACGCACACGCACACGCACACGCACACGCACGCACACACACGAATAAACATAACCCAAAAAAATAAATCAACTAACTTAAACACAGAGAAACGAATCCTAAGCCTTACAGTCAACACCCTCTGTGTTTCTGTCACTGGTGTCAAAAGCGTCCACCTGTGCCAAATCCAAACTCACTAGCCTTCATTCACCCCCTCCCACCATCCCCCAAAGTGAAAATTGCCCCTGTGATTCTAATGTGCAAACTGTTTTAGGCAGCTGCCTATGAACCTGGGTCGGGGCTCAGTGGCGGTCTCCTGGAGGGGACTGGGGCTTTTTGAAGGTGAAAGCTTGTGAGAAATCCCAGTTAACCAGAGTAGTTGACTTAAGAGAGGAATTTAGCTGCAGTGGAGGCTGGCAAGGTCACTGCTCATCTCCGTGATTCTTACTACTTTATGCTCATCATTTTATGTGCAGACACAAGGAGTTTCCACTTAGTGATGGCTCCCAGGTAGGGCGATTTCACATCAGTAATGGGATTCACCTGGGAGGAGATAAACTTGTGTTTGTCCTCACAACGGGCTCTGGTTACAGTCGATGTGTGTGGTCACAGGTCAATTGTGGGTGTCCCTTCTCAAATACTGCCCATCTTGTTATTTAGACAGGGTTTCTCACTGACCTGGAACTTGTGGCTTCACCTAGGCCAGCTGACCAGTGAGCCCTAGGGATGTGCCTGTCTCCACATCCTCCCCGGGATGGAACTCAGGGCCTCATGCTTGTGAAGCAGACATTTCGCCCCCTGAGCCATCTCCCCAGTCCTGGTGAGAGCTTTGAGTACAACAAGGACATCTGCTGATTATCTGTAGATGGTGGTGACTTTTTTCTCACCGGTGAGTGTGACATTTTTCCCCTGGGTGAAAACCTGAGCCCCATTCCTTTGGATTTCTTCCAGCTGGGCTTGGCACGTCATTGACAACGGCCCCCGGGTAGCCAGAGGCACAGCTGAGGGTGCTCTGAATTGCAGGAACCATGTGCTCGGCTCTCCACCCACCCAGGCCCATGGCTGCTCAGACAAGGCCCTGCTTGGCCAGCACCTGTAGACGTGGGAGCTGCAGCCTCGAGCACACATGCGTTATTAGCCAAATTCCCTTATTAAAATGACCTATGGGCTAGGTATTTTAAGTGTGTGGGCGTCGAGAGTAAAAGACTTTCAAGTGTTTTTCTCGCAAGCTGCAGCCAGAAGAG